GTAGCTAGTCAACATCACCCACTCTTATAACAAACCCATGAGACTAGAGGGAGTAAAGGTAGCTAGTCAACATCACCCACTCTTATAACAAACCCATGAGACTAGAGGGAGTAAAGGTAACTAGTCAACATCACCCACTCTTATAACAAACCCATGAGACTAGAGGGAGCAATGGTAGCTAGTCAACATCACCCACTCTTATAACAAACCCATGAGACTAGAGGGAGCAATGGTTATTGAATCTATAACAGATTAAAAGGAGCAAAGGAAGCTAATAAACATCACCCATGTGAAGCCAGCATGTTAATCACAGGGCCACACTAAATATCACATTTACACAGTCCAGCATGCTATCCGTACTTTCAAACAAGTGAAATTAAGTGTTTATTTTACAAAACTGTTTGATACCTTCTTCACTTTCTAATGCTCTTCAAATATAAATATAATGTTGCTTATGAAATGATCGACATCACTGTATATCTTGTTTTTGTTGTTTTACACCAGTTAATTTATATATATGATATATAGCTAACATTAAGAATATTGAATGGTAAGATAACTAGAAACTAGTTGATTTTCAAATGAAAAGTCTGATTTTGCCCTTGTGTTACACAAGTAAACCAAATTGAAAACAATTTGTACAAGCACTTCTCAATGTTTCAACTTTTTTAAACTGACATGGCAATAGTACAGTTCGGTTATCTGGAATTTAACAAACCTAAATCTTCATCCTTTTCATCCAGTTCACCAGCTAACTTAAAGAGCTTAGGACGTAGCCTTTCACAGCTATCAAACAGTTCCTAGAGACAAGAAACAACTAAACTATAACTAAAACATTAATTAATGTTATTATTTCACAAGCTCATCTACACAGTCCTATAACAAATAATTCATACAGAACTAAAAACCCAAAACATATGACTTGGAAACTCTGTTTTTGTTGAAATTAATCAATCAAAGAATTTTATTTACTTGTTACATACGTTCTTACACAAATAGGAGTTTCTGTCAACTGTGGCAGGAAATTAGCTGTAGTATTATAATCATTAATAGAAAACCATTTAGTAAAATGTGCCACAAACATTATGAAACACAATTTTCTTTGTCACGATACAAACAAAATGACTGACAAGACAAAATGTTATTGTAGCCAATCTTTAATGATGAAAAAGTAATTGTTTCATAGTTCTGAGTAATTCTAGATGGAAAGTACTTATAAAAAGTCAGATTTAAGCAAATACTGCATTTTCAACTAATATGTACAAAAGAGAAAGAAAATAAAGAATTAAAGAGGTCAACATTTGCAGACAAATAACATGTCTCTGCCATGCAATCCCAATATGGCCAATTTTAGCAATTGAAAAATAAAAACAATTATCTATATCTCTGTTTGGAACCTGTAAGAAAAGTATCTATGTACCAAATCCCATGTAAGTTGGTTGACATACAAATGAATAGTTCAGGAAAACCTCAAATTGTGTTTTCCTCAAGGGAAATGTGTGTAACCTGTAGAGAGGTATCGTCAGTGTGTGTAACATGTAGAGAGGTATCGTCAGTGTGTGTAACCTGTGGAGAGGTATCGTCAGTGTGTGTAACCTGTAGAGAGGTATCGTCAGTGTGTGTAACCTGTAGAGAGGTATCGTCAGTGTGTGTAACATGTAGAGAGGTATCGTCAGTGTGTGTAACCTGTGGAGAGGTATCGTCAGTTTGTGTAACCTGTAGAGAGGTATCGTCAGTGTGTGTAACCTGTAGAGAGGTATCGTCAGTGTGTGGGACCTGTAGAGAGATATCGTCAGTGTGTGGGACCTGTAGAGAGGTATCGTCAGTGTGTGGGACCTGTAGAGAGGTATCGTCAGTGTGTGGGACCTGTAGAGAAGTATCGTCAATGTATGGGACCTGTAGAGAAGTATCTTTCTACCAAATATCATATAAATTGGTCAAAATACAGCAATTAATTGACCAGAAACTCCAAAATTATGTTTTTGTGAGCTCTGACCCACCCTAAAAAGGGAAGGACAAGGAGGGAAAACAAAATACTGTGAGAAAAGGATGTCATGTAATAAGGAAGGAAGGGAAATGGATAAAACAGAACACATCTGAGACATCATGTCTATAAAGGCTGAGTCAGCAGATTATGCAGGAAAAGCTTGGGAAGGCACAGTGTAGTCAGATGGAGGAAAAAGGCTGTTAAAATCCTCGTTGTCACGAACAGATTCAGCAGATTCAGGAGGAAAAGCTTGGGAAGGCACAGTGTAGTCAGATGGAGGAAAAAAGCTGTCAAAATCCTCGGTGTCACGAACAGGTTCAGCAGATTCAGGAGGAAGTCTAGCAACATCGGGAGAAAAAGGTTGATGCATAAAATGATCAATCTCCCGATGAATGAAAGCCGAAATTCTTCAGCAAAGTTCCTGCAGCCTGTGTAAGTGTGCTGGAAGTAGGTGAAAGAACCTTCCAAGTGGTAACATGAACTTCAGAATTCATCATGTAATGATAAATAATTTGAAAAAAAAAAAAACGACTTGAAGAGAGCACATTTAAAGAATGTCTGCACTAGAGCACTGCCTAACAAGAAGTGATAGTTCAGTAGAATTAAATAGAGGGAATCACGTGCATCTAGAGGGTGTGTTACACTCCTATTGGTGGAGGGTTGCACGCATGATGATTTACATGCTAGACGCACTTGAACTACGATTATCGTGGATATGTGAGAATGCGAGGCTTGTGGCAATATAGAGAGCAGCATTGAACGAGTATACCTATACATGTGAGGGAAGGTAATGTATCATATCAGAAGTATACATTTGTATACATTTTTGGGTTGTTTTACCTTTGACCCCATAAAATCCTTAAAAAAAGGCACAAATAAAAAAACAAATGTAAAAGATGTCTGGGCATATTGGACCAAGGTATAACCCTACCAAGTTTCAGTCAATCCACAGGAAAAAGTGTCTTTCTGCAAAGACATAAAATAGTAAAGAACAGCTGTAAGTACAAATTATATTCCCTAGAACACACGTTAGGCCTTTTTTTTTAACTTTACATGCAAGTTGATTGTTAGTAAATCTATTAATAAATGGAAAATAAACTTTCACAAATATTCTTGTACAAAAATAACTTTCCGATATATAACAAACACAAAATTAAATAAAAGCAATTTATGTAGTTGTTGGAGTCACTCAACTATATAATTATAAACATTTTGACAAATTTAACTATGAAACTACTGTATCAGTACAATAAAAACTAGTTGTCATCCTATCTAACGACACAAAAATATTATGATAAAAATCATTATCTTTTTACAAAGGAACCATTATGACAAACGCAAATATCTTTGAAAGACAAAGTTGGCAACAGGGCACGATATGGAAGTTTTTTCTATAGGACATCTTCCCTTAAATGTCATGTTAAGACAATTTGTCCCGAAACATTATCATAAGGTAATATTCAAGGCAAATTGTTTGAAAGCAACTTTCAGATAAGTGGAAATACTTTTTATCTGATTTGGTTGTGAGACATTGGTGAAGAACATACTAGGTTAAATAGTGGTTATAATTAGAATTAAAACACTTTAAAAAAACAAGAAGAAAAATATCAGCTTGACTCGTATTCTATAAAACTATTTAACCTCCACATTTATCACTTCCTTTACATTTCAGAAAATAAACAAAAACATCGATTAAAATATTTCAGGACCGTCATAAGTTCATTCTCCTCTGCGGATGTTTCTTTTGATTGGTAGTTATGCAACATATCACTTAAAACTTTTGCATTGTTATGTACTGTCTCCAACTCCATGTTACGTCGTGCTGTGAGTTCCATTCTTCTGTCAGCCTACAAAATACAAGTCTTTGATGTAATATACCAATATTATTAGTAGACATCATTATAAACCACATAAAGCTAGAATAAAGGTTGAAAATCAGCATTGGTAAGCTGATGCATAGTGCTAATGTTTATGTTCTGAATTCCTTTTAAAAACGTGTCTACAATTTATCAATTAAAACTATTCATATCCTCAGATTAGCATAGTTTTCTTCCTTTTTTTTTTTTATAACTATTTTAAAATTGTAAACAGCTAAACTCAGTGTCATCTTAAACTAAAAGTTTTAACAAGGCTTAAGAAAATATTAGCTACGACCCTGTCAACAAGACAACCGTACAATATTCACCCTCAACTGTCAAACAAGACAACCATAATATGTTAAATGTTCACCCTCAAATGTCAACAATATTCACCTTCAACTGTCAAACAAGACAACCATAATATGTTAAATGTTCACCCTCAACTGTCAAACAAGACAACCGTTCAATGTTAAATGTTCACCCTCAACTGTCAACAAGACAACCGATTAATGTTCACCCTCAACTGTCAAACAAGACAACCATACAATGTTCAATGTTCACCCTCAACTGTCAAACAAGACAACCATACAATGTTAAATGTTCACCCTCAACTGTCATACAAGACAACCATAATATGTTAAATGTACACCCTCAACTGTCAAACAAGACAACCGTACAGTGATAAATGTTCACCCTCAACTGTCAAACAAGACAACCGTACAATGCTAAATGTTCACCCTCAACTGTCAAACAAGACAACCGTAATATGTTAAATGTTCACCCTCAACTGTCAACAAGACAACCGTACAATGTTAAATGTTCACCCTCAACTGTCAAACAAGACAACCGTAATATGTTAAATGTGTAAAATTTATATTTCAAATGGATGAATTTTAATGTGTTAGAAAATATATGACATATTTATGCCTTAAAATCAATGAGTTAAGTTAATCACAGGGATTAAGCTTTAAGATGCAAAAAATAGGCTGTTAAGTTTAGGGCTGGGAGTGGCTTCGTGGTCGGTATACTTTGCTGCTTATTGAATACATATGTTGATAACCTTTGTATGTCATTTGTATTAATATTCATTTAATGTTTCCTTTTGTAATACAGTTTCAGTATCTAATTTTTGAAAACTATATTAACAATTAAGTTTTATAGCTTAACCACATAAAAAAAAATACGTCGGACACGGAGAGGGAAAATCCCTTTTTTTGAAGCTAAGATTTTAATTACTTACGTCTTTCACCATATCCTTTATTAATCTATTAGCAGCTTGCAGATCTTGAGGATTCCTACTTCTTAATAACTTCTGTAGCGTCTGTTACACAAAACAGTATTGTAACTCTTCTACAAGCATTTAACAAACAACAAAAATCATTACATACATTTTAAACACAAGTGACAATCTTTTACAGCATTTGCAAATCAAAACCAAACACAAGTAAACTGGTATTTGATGCTGTAATCTTCAGGTCAGTTTTGGAATATTATACTGTTTAAAAAATTCATATTAAAAGCACAGTTATAATATACAAAACAATAGTGTTGTAATTAAATGTAGATTAAAATTGGGAATTAAAATAGACCTTGATAGTTCTTATGTTTATTATTGAAAATACCTCAGTTGATGCAACTTTTCAATAAAAAAAGGTTTATTGATGAAAATATACACATTAATCATAAAATTTTAATATGACACTGATTACTATTAATTAGACTAGTATATTTAATTAGCTACATAAACTAATTGATTTATTTAGTTTTGATCTTTGCAAGTAGATTCCTTTCATCAGAGGTTATTAATATTTACCTCAATGGTTGTGTTTATACTAAATATATTTCAATATACAAGTAGGTTTCTCTTGATGGATGTGTTTATATCAATAAACAAATAGGCTCCTCTCAATGGATGTGTTTATTTGTTTGGAATTTTGTGCAAAGCTACATGAGGGCTATCTGTGCTAGCCATCCCTAATTTAGCAGTGAAAGACTAAAGGGACGGCAGCTAGTCAACACCACCCCCCGCTAACTCTTGGGCTACTCTTTTACTTATTAATAGTGGGATTGATCAACACTTTATAATGCCCTTACAGCTGAAAGGGTGAGCATGTTTTATGGTTCAGGGATTTGAACCTGCGACCCTCAGATTGCGAGTAAAGCGCCCTAACCACCTGGCCATGCCGGGCCAA